AAAGGAAAAAAAAAAAGACCAAGGGAACAGAAGGGGAGGGAGCCACGTTGGCCGGCCGTGGGCAGCTGGGGTGAGTGGCGCGGGTGGGGTTGTGCAGGGAGCTGGTGGGGGCTATAATTAAAGGGAAAATATAGTTTCCAGAGAGACAGGGCTAGAGACGGCCATGGAAGGATGGGCCTTCATCAATTACCTCAACCATGTGGCAGTGACTTGTGGCCCAGGATCTGTCCCCGCCCAGTGCCAGTGACGGCAGGGCAGGACTGGGGGTTGAGGTGCTGAGATGGCAGTTCCTGGACCCACCAAAGTCCTACCCTCCACTGCGAGTGGGTTCCAAGGGGAACCATGTCCCCAACAGGGGGCAAGGGTCCTGACCCCCGAGGAACACATATTGGGAGTGGTTCTCCAGGCTGGTGTGACCTGCCTGCATGTACAGTGTTCCCATCGGGCCGGCTGGCCTGCAGCCCCCTCCCACATCTCTCTGTCTGGCCTCTCCCTGGCCCACCTTAAGGAAGAGCTGAAGCCTCGCAGGTGTGGATGGCTGCTGCAGTTGTGACATCACAGGCCTGGGACTCTGATGGACATTCAGACTCCCTGGGATGAGGGTGTTGTACGCACGGTGTGTGACAGCTACCACCCCAGTATCCAGCCCCAGGCCCTGCTCAGGGACTACAGGCAGATGTTCTGCAAGCATCCTTTCCACGTGGCATGGAGCTGAGGCCCAGGGCTGCTTCTGCCACTTCTTGACTTGAAACACTTGGCCGACGCCCAGTGTGAAGATGTGTCTTTAATTTCTGCAGCATGACAGCGAGGGGAAGAATGTGTTTGGGGTCTCCTCCCAGCCTGGCCGGGGCCTCGCTGGGCTGGCCGGGGTTGAGGGCTGGAGGCTGGGGGAGGGGAGCCTGGGCTGAGAGGGGAGGAGACGCCACCTCATCTTTAGGAAAGTCTGAAGCTCTGGCTTCGTGAGGAATGTAGGATTTTGCCCGGCACTTGGGGGGGGGGGGGGGGGGGGGGCACTAAATCTCCACCTCCCACCCCCAAGAATGGTAAAGTCATCAGCAGTTGGGGAAAAAAATTCCTCAAGAAGAAAAACAGAAAGGGGAAAGTGCTGAGCTCTGAGTTCTCTCCCCTCTCCAAACTTTCTCCAGTGGCCCCCCAAAGAGGAAGGGGAGTCCTCCCAGCTCTTCAGGCCCTGACATCTGGACTCTGTGGTGCCGGACAGGGAGGGGAGCAGGTCTGAGAGAGGCGGCAGGGCTCCTGGTTGGGGGTTCACCCTGCCCTGTACAGCAGCTCACCCCAGTAGCTGCTGAGGCCCCCACTGGAGGCTCCAGTACCTTTCCTCCCACCGGACCCCCAATGTTCTGGGTCCCAGACTAGTGAGGAAGAGAGGGTCCTGGGGGAAGTCACTGAGGAGAGAGAAAGGCAGGGGTCTGAGGCTGCCCGAGCCCCCCCACAACCCTGTACGTTCCAGTGGAGGGGCCGGGGCACAGTGAGGGGCCCTGGGTGTGTGTGCCCCTTATTCCTCCTCTCCCCTGACAGTGCCCACTCTGTGCCCTCTGTCAGGTCCCTGGAGCCCCAGTGCTCTCTGCCCTCCTGCGCCTCGGCCTGCAGCCCAAGGCCTTCGGTGTCCGAGCTCTCCCTCCATTCCTCCCTGGTCCCCTTCTCCACAGGGCTGAGGGAAGCCCATGACGAGGCTTTGCCGGCCTTGACCACGCGATGCTGTGAGACCTCCAGAAGTGTGCAGGCCATACAGGGCACCAAGGCCTGGGCGTGAGAGGCAAACGTGGGGCCCCCGGGATGACAGTGATGAAGCGGTGGGTGTGGATAGAGCCATGGCCCCAGAGAGTGCCAGGATGCTGAGGCTGAAGGGTTGGGGAAAAGGGAGCCCGCCAGGGACAGGGAAGGGCAGCCAGAGAAGGAGATGAGGAGCAGAGGGGTCAGGGGTCCTAGAAGGAGGGGAGCTGGGCACTGCAGACAGGGCCGTGTGACCAGGAGTAGAGCTACGTGGGACCCTGCCTTGTGGCGTGGTGGGCGAGAAGTCAGACTGCAGCGGGCTGAGGCCCGGGAGGCTGGGAAATGGGGTGCCGCTTTTCTTTTCTTTCTTTGCACTCCTGTCTTCCCTTTCAGTCCCTGCCTCTCCCTCTCTCTTCCGTGTGACTTTGTCCTTCTCCATCCTGCTCCTCTCTGGAGCTCTTTTTTCTGGATCGCTTTGTCTTTTTGCTCGCTGCCCCCCTTTCCTGTCTCCCCAGGGGACCTGAGCCACTAGATGTCCACAACCAGGCTGGGCGCCCACCTGTCTTCCAGAGCAAGTCCTCAGCCCAGCCTCCTGAGGGGGAAGCTTGATTTCCAGTCCTGGCCAGATCCTGCCCCATTCTCTGGGACGCCTCAGCCCAAGGGGGACAACTTGGGGCAGAGGAAACAGGGAATAGGCTGGCACGGGAAGGGCTGGAGTGTGGCCCGCAGGTGACACCAGGATCAAGGTGGCCCCGGGCTCCTGTGCCAACACTGCCCATCCCCCAAGGTGAGAACACGCTGGGGCAGGAGTTGTTGGGCTTGGGGACCTCAGTCCTCGCTGCTGCTCTGTGGCCATCACACCTGAGGGTCAGTCCCCACCCATCCTCCAAGTCCCCAGGCGAGGCTCTGTGAGCTGCAGCCGCAGCCCTAGCCCCTCACAGTCAGAGGGCAGAGAAAGTTCTGCTTGAGGCTTGGATGAGTGGGCAATTGGATTTTTATTTACTCCTTTCTGGTTTGGTTCAGCTCTGGGCTTATTTGATCTCATTTCCGGTCCTCAATTCCTTGCTCCCTTCCTATTTTCTATGCGTTTGCCTCTTCCCGTCCCTCTTCATCTCTCCCTCTCTCCCTCAGCCTTTTCCCTCTTCATGGACTTTGCTTCCTTCTCTTAGTTTTCTCTTCCCATCCCTCTGCCCCTGAGCATTGTCCCACCCCTCCACCCACGCACTCCTTTCTCCTCCTCCTTTCTCTCTCTCTCCCTGTTCTCTTCCGGTGTGGTGTCTGCTTCTGCAGGCTCTGGATTTCTGGTGCCTCCATCCCATCCTGGGGGGCGGCACTCTGCCCCTGCCAGAGGCAAAGGTGGCTGCAGCTGAGGAGAAGGAGGAGGAGGGGGAGGAGGAGGAGGAGGGGGGGGAGGGGGAGGAGCGCACCCAGCAGTGGGCTTGCATCACAACCAGGCTTCTGGTTCATGTGTGGGGAGACAAACACAAAGACTCCTCTTGGCCCCAGTCTCCTGGGCTTTCTCCAGGCAACCCTGGGATTCCGGAGTTTTGGGGGCAGGACCTAGTAGGGGACAGGAAGTGGGGGGATCTTGATCTGCTCACTTGCACCAGCCCTGGGCCAAGGACCTCTTTGGACAGTTTGGCTCAAATGTAGAAAGAAGCCAGTCTGGATAAGATGGCCCGTCCTCTCCTCCAAGGCTACTGCCCCTGCATTTTGCATCATCTGCTGATGTAGTCACTAAACCACACTAGGTGCCATGCCCTTTGCTGGGCATTTGGTGGGCAATATAGACCCTGTGTCTTCCCTTATGAATCTTATGTCTGAGAAAGAGACAGACATGAGCAAAATCCATGAATAAGCAAAGAGCTGCATCTGTAAGGCTATGAAGTGGCTCCAGTCTAGTCCTGGGGACTCTGGACAGGTTGATGGCTGAGTGGAGATGACTTAGGGGAGTGGTAGGGCAGGGCAGGGAGATGAACTAGCTGGCTGGTTCCGAATGCGCAAAGGCCCTGGGGCAGGAGGAGCCCAGCAGGTTCTAAACACTGGAGGAATCGTGAGACAGCCAGTGTGACTGCAGCTCACAGAGCAAAGGCTGGCAGGCCAGAGAGGCCAAATGAGAGGATTCATTCTCTATCCTTCCTGCTCTGGACCCCCGGGGAGGTCATAGTCAGGTCTGCACTGGGGGAGCCCACAGTGCTGCCTGAAAGGAGGAAGTGCTGCAGGGGATGGAGGAGCAGCAGAGAGGCTCCTGGGGTAGCCCAGGTGACTATTCTTGGACCAGACTAATAGGAGTGGAAGAGGTGGGGAGGGACAGGCTCAAAGGCCCTGGGGAAGAGAATTCGCAGGTGTGGGGCTGGATTGGGTGGGGTGGGGTGAGGGGCAGAGCACCCTGAGTCTGTGCATCTCTAGTTGATGCAATTAGGGCACAGCTTCTGCCCGCCTCCGGGGGACCAGCCTGGGGACCTGGGACCCACAGCGCCTGCCCTCAGAGCGGGGAGCTGGAAGTGTCTTTCGGCTGAAGTAGCCCTGGCTGTGGAGTTTTCGCAGGTTCCTTCATCTCTCTGATCCTCTTTTCCCTAATCTGTGAAGTGGGGACCGAGAAGCCCATCTTGCAGTTCTGGGTCCTGCTCAGTAAAGTGGAAGCTTCCAGAGACGCCCAGGTGTTGAAACGGCTTTGCAGGGGGGCTTTGCAGCTGCACCCGGGCTGGGCAGGTGACAGGGCCCCATGCAGAATCCGAATGTCAGGGAAGACCACACCGCGCCTGGAAGCCCAACACAGCCGAGAGAGAAACAGACAATCAAGGCATTGAAAAAGTGGAGGAGAAGCCTGGAAAAACTGGCTGGGGCCAATGTCTAGAGGTATGGGACTCCGGATTCTCATTCTGAAGGCCACAGGGAGCCAGTAACAGCTCTTGAGCAGGGCATGGTTTGATCCTTTTGCCAAGGATTTGTCACCTTGGAGACAGCAGACGGACTCAGGTAAAAATCTGGGGCTCTGCGGGGAGGGGAAGGTGGTGGGATTTGCAGTTCTGGGATTGACAAGAAAACAGGACATGAGGCCAGGTAAATAGGTAGACCAGATGGCCCCTCCAAAGTTCACGTTCTGTCTCTCCTGCAATCCAGTGTTCTAGTTTCCAGGTAGGAATTTCGTGGCATAGGCGAAGCCACTGAGGCACAGAGAAGGCCAATCACCGCCCCAGGTCACGCAGCTAGGGTTGAGGCCTTGGATGTAAGATCCCTGCTGCACTCATTTCAAGACTCCGGGTAGCATGGGCTCCAGCTGCCTGGCCAGGCCTGCAGATGGGGATGAGGGCCAGCTGATGGGGGACAGTCTTCTGGAGCCCCTCTCTGTAGAGCCATGTGGCCCGAGGGGGAAGGGAGCCTGGTGGGCAGGGAGGAGCTGCCACATGGAAGAGGCTTGATGGGAACCATCTGGCCTGCGCTGGGAGTGTGGGCTGCAGGAGGAGGGCGGGGCAGGAGGTGGGCAGGAGGCCATGGTGGGCTGGGCCGGCCCGCTGGTGGATGGCGGCCGGGGCTGGGAGCGGTGGCCCAGAGGCCCCTGCCTTCCAGACGGCTGTAGCCCAGATGCCTTTGCAGCCGGCCTGGCCCCGTCCAACCCGCTGACCTCATTCCCAGCGCCTCCTCCCTCCTCGCAGGCTCCTCGCCTGCCTGCCACGTAGACTCGGCCACAGGGGGAAGGAGAGTGGGACCCAGGTGCCCTGAGCCCAGAGCCCTGCCAGGACCTACAGAGCTGTGGGCAGCCGCTGTGACCACTTGGGGCCTCAGTTTCCTCTCCCCAAACATGAGGTCCGGTAAATGAGGGGGACTGGGGTGATGGGAGAAGCCAGATGAGAAGCAGGGTGGAGTGAGGAGCGGGGAACCAAGGGGGCTTCCTGGACTCGTGAGAGCCTTCCCCGCCTTCTGGGCTCCCGGGTGCTGTCCTCACATCTCAGCATCGCACTGGCTGTCGGGTGCAGAGAGCAGCACGCTGTCCCCTGTCGGGCTCCTCAGAGCCCCCCATCCTGCCCCCCGGCCCGGCGTATCTGCCTCCCTGCCCCCCAGGTCCTGGTGTTACTGTCCTGAGGAGCTGGGGCTGTCCCTGCCGTCTGCCCAGGCGTTCCCGGCCGGTGAGTCATCGGGAATGTCTGCTCTGGCTGCAGTTTCCCCCCTGGCCAGGGACCCTCTCCCTCCTCGCCGGAACTCAGAGTAGAGGGTGCTGCTCCCAGGCAGGGGCTGGGGTGGGAGGAACCCAAGCCCAAGGCTGCCCTGAGGCCCCGGTCCCCCACAGGCAGGAAAGGCAGAAGGGGACTGGGGCCTCCAGAGGCCATGTCCCCATCACAGATAGACAGCCTGTCCTGGTGCCTGCTTCCCAGGCAGGGACACCAAGGAAAGCAGCTCGGTGAGGCCCAGACAGAGTTTGATGTGCTCAGGCTCCCAACACCACACTGTTCGGGGCTCAGCTTTGCAGAACTGGGAGTCTGCTCAAGCCTCTTTTGGAAGGGCCCTCCCCAGTCAGCTGGGCCTGGCAGGAAAGCTGGAGAGGCCGCCCCTCCACGGATGAGGCATCCTGGCTGGGGTGCGGTGTCCACGTCCACAGGAGAGGGGGGCCCTGGATCAGTTTTTGTTTGTTTGTTTGTTTTTGAGACAGGGTCTCACTATGTAGCCCATGCTGGCCTTGAAATCACTGCATAGTCCAGGCTGGCCTCAATATCACAGCAATCATCCTGCCTCAGCCTCCTAAGTGCTGGGATTACAGGTGTGGAGCACCATACCCAGCTGGATTTGTTGTTTAGAGAGCTAGGTTCAGTGCCTGAGTCGTCTACTGACTGTGAGCATTCACATCCCAGTACTGTGCCTCAGTTTCCCCATCGGTAAAACAAGGGGGCTGGACAGAAAGAGTTTCCACTCTCGGATTAATCTATGATTCTGCGTCTTCCCACTGAGACCGACCCTTGCACTCACATACACACTCACAGATACACTCTTCACTCCTACATTTGGGCACAATTTTTGTTCCCTTCTGCCTGAGGGCTCCCACACCCCACATTGTCACCATTGCTTCTCCTCCTGAGGTCACAGGCAGGACAAAGGTGAGCCACAGCAGAAGCTGAGAGGTTTGTGCTCCAGAGTGTCAGACCTTCAGCTCCCTCAAGGGTCCCACCTCTGCGGTTTGGGGTGGGAGGGGCCGGGGACGGAGCAGAGAAAGTCTCGCTTGTTCCCACCCAGCTGGGCACCTGCACAAGGGTGGCCCTCGCTTTTCCTTCCCGGACATCACTAGCTCTCCCTTCCAAAAACTCCGGTCCCCCGGACACCCAGGGACCTCCTCCACCCTCAGGCCATCTTTGCAGCTTGGCCTGGCTCTGGCCCCAGGCTGCACCCTTCGAGGAACTTCTGCTGAGGAGCTGCTCAGAGCTCGGAAGGACCTTCCCGAGAGGAGGTAGCTGCTGGCCGGGAGAGATGTGGGTGGGAACTGAGCAGCAGATGCTGGAGGAGCAGCAGATATCCGTACTGGGCTCTGCCGCAAGCTCCTGGCACCTCTGACCTATACCCTAGTCCCTGAGGTGGGTGCTGTTGTTGCCTGCATTTCAGAGGAGGAGAGAGAGACACAGAGAGAGAGGTGGAGCCAGTTTCCTGGAGTCACAGAGCTGGGAAGTAGCTGCACTGAGATGAAAACCCAGAAAGTCTCATGCTTCACTCAGAGACCCAGGACGGATGCCAAGTGGACCACCCCACCCCACTGCAGAAGTGGCTGTTTGCAGGAATGCGCTGTCTCCTCTTGGGCTCATGCACGGGAAGGACCACAGCATAACGTGGCTGAAACTGACCACAGGCACTAGCCGAGTGGCCAGTCCCAGCTACCCCGCCCTGCCTCCCATCTGCCCAGGGCCTACTGTGAGCTGACCACACCACGACACACACAGCATCTCATTTATTTCATTAAAAAAAAACTCTCCCTCCATTTATTTTCCTTTTCTTTTTTCTCTATTTTTCATTAGTGTATATTTGTGACATAAGAAATGCATTCATCATGGGGAATCGGCACCTATACAAACTCTGGTCTTAATCCTTTTTACTCCCTTTCTCTCCCCACTCTCCTATCTCCACCACCCTCAGACTCCCCCTCCCCTCCTTTGCTTTGATTTATTGATCCTTTGTATTGGGTTTTTTGGTACCGGGGATCGAACTCGGGTCCTTGTGCTTGAGCAGCAGGCAACGAAACCACTAAGCTAAATCCCAGGCCCTGTATTGGTTTTTAATCTCAATTCATTAATTTCCATTCTGATCATTACAATCTCTTTCCTTCTATTAGTTTCAGAGTTGGGTTGCTCTTGTCTTTCTAGGACCTTAAGATGCATCCTCAGATTATTTATTTGGGATCACTCTATTAGGCCCTAACCTTCCCTCTCAGAACTGCTTTCATTGAGTTCCACAGGTCTTGATATGTTGTGCTTTCATTGTCCTTTGATTCTAGGAACTTGTAAATGTCTTCTGTGATCCGTGGATTATTCAATAGCATATTCTTTAATCTCCCTGTATTTGAGTAAAATAGTTTCTGTGGCTTCTTTTCCTGTTGATTTCTACCTTCACTCCAATATGGCCCCATGGTATGCAGGGGATTATTTCAGTTCTTTTGTACTTATTTAAGCAGATTTTGTGGCCTGAGATAATGTCTATTTTGGAAAAATCTCTGTGTACAATGTCTCATTTACTCTTCAGAATGGCTCTGGGAGATCAGCTAATACCTCTACTTTACAAAAGGAGACCCTGTGGCCCAGAAGGGCCAAGGCATTGCCCAAGGACTCCTTCTTAGAGCTGAGAGAACCCAGCAGCCCCAAAGCTGGAACAGCCTGTGAGTCCCCTAGTGCAGATCCACACTGCACATGCATGGACCATGCACACCCCCCACCCCCTAGCGAGACCCTGCCTACCAAGTTCCACGCAGTGCTTCATTCCTTCTTGTGGACAGTGCCCTGAGGAAGGACATTCTGTAAGTGAGGGGACCCTAGCCCAGCCCAGAAGCACCCTGCACATACCACAACCCATGATTACGCATGCATGGAGCTGTTACACGACAACCAAACCACTATAAGAGCCCCACGGTAAAAGCTAAAGGTTCTAGGTGTTTTCTGGGTGTTGGCTCCTGTTCACTGAATGGCCTATGCACAGTGGATGGGGCAATGCCTCTGTTACCCCTTCTTCCTGAGGAGCCTCCTCCCTAGCACGCTGGGGCCTGTGGGTCCTGGCTCCAGGGGTGTTTGGAAAATACTCACCTGGTGCTTGAGTGAGGAGACAGACCCAAAGGGGATGGGCTCTGGGGGGCAGGGCTGGGGGGCATGATGTCTCCCTGTGCTTTTGCATCGTCTTTGGCTTTGTGCACCCACCTGACTGTCTATCTCCTGCCCTTCCACGTCCCTTCCCTGGTGTCAGCCCCCGTGGGGACAATGGATTGGGGGCTTGTTTGCCCACAACCAGAGTGGACCCACATCTGAGCAGGGCCCACTCCCAGGCCTGTCAGCTCCACTGAGAACCTTTTGCCCTGGGCTTCTCTCTGCCCAAGACAGGGCACCTCCTCCTGCTCCAGCCTTTCCACACTGTCCGTGTCGCTGACAGCTACAGGTCAGCCTGGTGGCCCAGTCTGTGAGTCTAGGACGAGCTTCCGAAGCCTGATCTAGTTCAATGCTTTGATGTCTGCCCTTGCAGTGAGCCTGCCTCCTCCAGGTCCTTCTTCAGACCTGTCTCCTCTTTCCCAAGGAGTCCTTACTTCCCTGGGGCAGCTGACAATAAGGAAACAGGAATCTGACAGCTCAGCATTCACAGAGAAATCTAGGGGCAAGAGTACCAGTGGCCTGACTGCCAGCTTCCTCACATCTGGATCCTACCTGACTCCCAGATTGGCCTCCTCCAGGAAGTCCTCCTGGACCAGCCCACCTGTCTGTCTCAACTCTGGAAATATTTAGGGCTTACTGGTCTGATGTTTTCCTAATGATATTTTTTAAAAATAATCTTTCTATATTTTGTCTTTTGTGTCTTTTTCAAGTGGCAGCATCACTGAGCTAAATCCCCTGCCCCTGTGTCTTTTTTTTTTTTTTTTTTTTTTTGAAATAGTCTCACCATACAGTTCAGGCTGGCCTTGAACTCACTATGTGGCCCATGCTGGCCTCAAACTTGCAGCGATCCTCCTGCCTCTGCCTCTGAAGTGCTGGGATCACAGGTATGTGCTACCACACGTGGCCCAACCTTTCTATTTTGAAATCATTTTAGATTTGCACAAAAGCTACAGAGTACAGAAAGGTCCCATATCTCCCTTGTCTGGTTCTCCTAACATTAACTTCCTGTGCCACCACATTGTATTGGCCAAACCTGAGACACTGAGCCTGTGACATTACTATGAACAAAATTCCAGGCTTTATTCCAATTTCTCTGGTTTTCTACCAACATCCTTTTCCTGTCCCAGGACCGATCCAGGAGCTACATTGCACTTGGTGTTCGGGTCTCCTTCATTTCCCCTGGCTTGTGACCATTTTAGGTCTTTGCTGGACATTGATTTGTTAGTTAGCATACTTATTTATTTAATGGTAATGGGGATTGAACCCAAAGAGTGCTGAGCTACATCCTCACCCTTTGTTCTTATTTTGAGAAAGAATCTTGCAATCTTCCTGCCTCACCCTCCTGAGTAGCTGGGACTACAGGTGTGTACCACTCCGCCCAGCTAACTTTGATGGTTTTGACCGCTGGCCAAGTCTTTGGTAGAATGTCTTACTGTCATTTTGCAACAGTAAAAGTTTTCCTTAAACTAAATCTTCTGCAGAGTCTGATGATACAAGCAGATAGGAGTGGAGTTGGCCTGGTCCCAGCAATGATGGGAGAAGGTTTGACACCAGTAAGGTCACCTGAGAGTCACCTCCATGGGACCTCCTGAGAACTCCAGGAACCCCCTTAGGGTGCCATGGAACCCAGTTTGAAAACTATTAATCTACACCAAGCTCTGCTTGGTGCGTGCTTTTGTGCTCTAAAAGCTAGGGAGAGTGGTCATAAACCAAACTTCCAACCTTCAGGGACAGGGCCATCACTCCTTTCTGGGGAAGCTCCAGTGGTTAGAAAGGCCTTTGAGCTCTGCTTTCCCCAGGCTCTGTTGCAGGTGCCCCTGTGTATGCTCCCCTGCAGGACCCACAAGCCTATTGCCCCAGGTCAAAGAAAGGCTGGAGGCTGGTGGCCTCCTCCCCACCGTGACTCTCAGCACCCCAGTCACACTTTCTCCTCAGAGGCTGCCATCCTGTGCTTGATGGTGGGAAGGGACAGGAGCTCTGACCAGCAGCCTCAAGCAGGGACAACTCCAAGGGGCTGTCCCAGCTCCAGAGTTCCTGGTAGGACCCTCAGAGGCCTGGACTGTGACACCACCGCATTGACTGTCTCCCTCAGTCCAGTCCACTGCATTTGCACACAGGTCTCTATCTCCTGGGGCTCCAACCCAAGAGTGGCCCAAAGAAGCAGACTTTGCAGTAGGATTTGGGGCCTGGATCAGCCAGCCAGCTTCACACTAAGTAAACTAAGGAAACTGCTTCACACTAAGGAAACTGCAGCACTATCTTTGCAGACAATAGACAGGACCTGAGGCTCAAAGGAGCATGTGCGCTAGAGTGGATCCATTCTGCAAAGCCGCCAGACAGCTTCTAGAAGACAAACACAGCCAAGTGCCAGCCCTGGCAGCAGCTGCAGAGCCAGGTGTGATGTTACCAAGCCAAGTGTGGGCTGTTGATCTGGAAAAGGGGCTGTCTTCTATCTCTACCTGGGCAGTGTGGAAACAGCTCAGTGTGTCTTTGGGATGGACAGTGGGGTGCATTTAAGGCTCTTCCTGGAGGGTACCGACCTCCCCTCCTCATCATAGCACAGTGTGAGGGACCTGGCTCTCCCGAGCACTTTGCAGAAGGTACCCTGACCTGCCCTTTTGATGACATCGTCTTAATTGGGCCAGATCGACAAGAAGTGGCAGGTGCCTTGGTAAGACACATGCATTCTAGAGGATGGGAAGAAAAAAAATGTGCAAAGTTCTAGAAGCTCATAGGGTCTATAAAATGTTTAGTGGTTTAGTAGTCTCCAGATCCCCTCCAAATAAAAGAAGAAATAAATGCATCTCATCAGTCTTGGCACAAATGAAGAAATACCGCTAGCAGCCTCCTCTAACTCGAGAGAAAGTATCCTGTACCCTGGGAAGATAGTGACTCGTGACAGGAAAGAGCTTTGCAACAATTCCAAGTGTGGTGTACCTGGCCCTGACACTTGGACCCTGAGACCTGCAGACCCTGTGTTATTGGAGGTATGGGTGGCATCCATAAAGATTTTGTTACCTCAGCGGGAGAATCACAGTGTAGAGTGCTAGGGTTTTGGAGAAAGGTTGTCTCAGTGGAGGATCACGCACTAGTCACAAAACAGCTTCTTGTGTGCTACAGGACATCATAGAGCCAAAATACCTAACTGGAAGCCATCAGATGACCACATGGCTAAAGATGCCCACCGTGAGCTGGGTTCTAAAAGACTCTGCATATGTCCGTGAGTCTCCTCCAAACTTCACTGCCCATTATAATTGGTCGTTATAATTGTCCCAGATTTCTCTTGGATGCCTCCTTATGTGTCCATCCACGTTCTTTCCACTTACCCAGGATCTTGACCAAGAACATGAGCTTCTAGCTGTAGATGGCCAGAGACCAGGGTAACAGGACATCACCTCCCACTGTCTCCTGAGCCACGCAGCGGACTTAATAGCTGTAGAAGTCTCCTCAAATGTGTTACCGCTCTGGGTCCTCAAGGTCTACACCCATAGGTGTTAGATATTTCCAAGGAAAATAAAAATGTAGATTTACTTCACTCATAAATTTGAAATGCAGAATTTATTAAGATTTTTTACAGCAGCCAGGGATTTAGCTCAGTGATGCCGCCGCCTGCCTTACAAGCACAAGGTCCTGAGTTGGATCCCCAGTACAAAAAAAAAAAAAGAAAGTTTTTTACAGCAATCCCATTATGTTCTTAATAACTGTCACATCCGTTGACATTGTGCATACACACACTTGAGTGTGGCCCATCTAGCTTGGCAGTTTGTCTCAGGAGACATATTTTCACATCGCTTAAGGCTTTTGGGGTTATTATTTTTGTGATGTGTAATATCCTCAATCTGAACAGTAAGTCAGTTCATTAAGGATTAAGACGAGTGATGAAAATACCAACCCCCTTTCGCTGCCTGCTGCGCAAGCTCAAGGACCCGAGTTCCATCCCCGGTACCAAAAAATTAAAAAAAAAAAAAAATACCAACCCCCAAACTGTGACGGAGAAGACAGTTATAAAAGGAAACAGTGAATCGGAGTCTAGTTCCAAAATAAAAATTGTAAATTGCTAAGAACTGGAACATGTCGGATGATTTTACCCAAGCATTGGAAATCAAAATGTAAATCGTGAGGGCAGTGTTAGATATCTGAAACTGGACTCCTTGGGGGGTTTTTGTTGGTTTGTTTTTTGTTTTTGTTTCTTTGAGACAGGGAATAAAAATTTACAATTTTACAGAGGATTATAAGACAGCAGTTGAGTTATTAAAGTCAAACTATT